GACTTTCATCAGCAGCGAAGGTGAGTGACTTGTAAATGTTCTCTGCTTCATTGTCCATCGCGTAGATTAGACAGCTCACCTGTACTTGTCCTTCGTCTTTGTGGAGTTTCGTTGCGATCCTGTAGCGCTCGAAACACTGTTTCCAGTCGGGCCATTCCGTTGGCTTATCGAAGGGGAAGCTTGTCGGGGGATTAAACTTAGCCATTCGTTGTTTCCTCCCTTATGACGTTATTTCGGCGATGGTCCGGGTGAGTTCTGACACCATTGTAGAATGACCACTCGGTAGCTTTCTTATGATGCTGCTTTATTGAACGTATATCCAGCATGGGTTATTACAGCACAACAACGGGTGCGGTAGCTAGGAGTAGAACAGCACATAGACAGCCCTGCCGCAAAGCATGTCAGGGTGGTATAAAGCCGCAATGCCCACCCCCTCAACACAGGCAACCCAGTATATGACAGCCATCAGTGTAAATCTCAATAGGTCAGCATCTTCCTCTGGCACATACATTGTGAAACAACTTTGATGTCAGACATCAAAACAACAGGCTCTTTTCTGAACCTTGTCAGCACGCTAGCCATGCCATTTGATTAGTCCATAAACTTTGAGTCTTCCTTGGATAGCCCAATCTGCTCATCAAGACTGCTCTGAGGGAAGTCCATCTTGAACTGCTGTTTCCATAGCTTGTCCAGTGTAACAGCAAAAACTCTGTTGGCTGTAACTGTTGACAGCCATCCTGGCCAATTCACAGCATTCTTGACTAAGTGGCCCATTCACTGTCCAAACGAACATGGTCTTGATGGCGGAAGGTCCATCACCTACACTCTGGATGACCTTTAAAGGTTCTATGGCTCTGGGCATATTCATGCCGATCAAAAGGTCCAGAAAGGTATATGTTTCTACAAGCTTACAGTCTTGTTCACCAGAACCAGTAAGACCATTAGTCTGGATTGTAACAGGATCTGCCTCATTGTGAAGTTTGACCTCTTTCTTCTCCTTTTGGTGGATATGGAGCATACTTGCATGTCTGAAATCACCGATTTTACACAAAAGGCATTTTCTGCATTCTTGGGTGGTGTGTCCAATACAACTCCAAATAGATGCTATTCTTTTTAAGAAACGAAATCTTCTCCTTATGAGGTTTCTTATCAGGGAGAGTGTGTGTCCACCTTTGCAGAACAGACAAGCCATCACAGCACTGTGACAATCTTGAGCCCCTTTTTGATTCTTTCTCTTAACATCAGAAAAAGTTGTGCCAAAGCTACTTCCTTTAGCCCTTGGATGTGGAGAACGTCTCCCTCCACCACTGCCCTTGGCTGTTAGATGTGTTGATGGAGCATCACATAGATTTCCAAAGACAGGATCTGTAGCAATTTTAACATGACGCTCAAGGAAGGAAACCATGTCAGTGAATGCAGCTCTGTGATGTTGCCTCTCCTGGATGTCACATGCTACTGTTCACCATTTGTCTTTTAATTTACATGGCAGTTTTCTAATCACAGCAAGCATATTGGGAAGCGTAACCTCTTCCATTGCATTGCAGCATCTATGTATAAGCAAACAATACATCCGAAAAGCCTTTCTGTCTTCTCATCTAATCAGTGGCCATGAGTGAACTTTATTCAGATAAGCATCTCTGGAACAAAAGTCTCTGTGTCTGCACTGATTTCAAGCCTGTTACTCTTTTTTTTTTTTTTTATATGATTCTATTCCACTGGATTTCCATGAACCAGTGCTCTCCACAGTGGATCCAGTTCTCAGCACATTCACTTTTGCAACAATTGCAGCTATTATCTGCTTCAAGCTGCTTGGAAACCTTGTTCCATCTTTCTCCTCAATTGTTCCTCCTGTTCTTCAAGAAAATGTTTTTCTTTGAGCATATGCTGGCTGCAACAAGGCAGCCATTTTAGCTTCTGCTCTGAGACATGCAGATAAAGTAGATGATATTTTTGAGCTCAACCTACTGCCTTGGTTTGACACACTATCAGATGGCAACACATCATCATAGACATCATGCTGGAGATTAAGAGACAGTTGAGGTTCTTTTCCAAAGTGCTCTTGAACCCTCACTTCTCCTAGGGGTGTTTCCTGTGACTGTACCCTGTCAGGTGACGGCCTGCCTGAACGTTTGTCAGTTTCAGACAGACATATTTTAACACCCTCCATAAACCCTTTATTGTATTTAGCAATGCTTAAGAACCATGTACTTTAATTATCTTTCTAATCAAATGAGATTAATGAAAGAAGAGATTTATACAATGCCTACCATCCTTAAACAGGTCTCTTAACTCATAGTTAAATTAAACGATTCAACTTGTGAATAATTTATAAATTTATTTCATTAGCTCTTTAAAAGACATAATGACCCTTTTCATTTTGTTTACATGCTTTTTCCGATCTGTTTGGATGGTTTCAATTTTGTTTGCAAGAACTTTCTCGGTGAGAACAATTAATCTTTTATAATTTTCAGGTTTTCCAACAACAGATGCAGCTTGTGATTAGAGCAGGGCGATATGACCAAAAATATTTATCACGATATACATTTGAAAATTTGCGATAACGATATAACTGACGATATAATTGACACCAGACAAAATACTTTACAACTCCACAACTTTATTTGTGCAAAAAAAAAACAAAAAACATCAATGTATTTTCACTTCAACAAGCAGCTGTTTTTTATGTGCATTAAAGTTATATAAAAATTTAACAGTGCAAATGCAAATTCCTTGCTGCCAGTTTAACCAAACCTGATTCCAAATAGAGCACATTTCATTCATAATGTTGTCAGTCCAAGCCCATTATGTATTCACGATTTGAATCCTGGGTTGTGTGAAATCCCAGAAATAAACCCTAGACAAAGTGAATCTGTGAACTGAGGTGTAGGTCTATTAGGTTATGTTGTGGTGATCCTCGGGTTGGGGGATGGGTGTTCATGCTGGAGTGCAAAATTAAAACCTGCCTGTATGGAAGATGGATTAGAAAAGTTCAAAGCCATCAGGTGCTCAGTTTAGAAAAAAGAGAAAAGAAGAGGAGGAGAAACGAGCAAAAGATACAGGTAAGCAGATGTGTCATTGGATAATGGCACATCCTGAAACAATCAGAATCAGCCCAGTGCACCAAACAGGCTAGGACCGCCACTGTGCGGGAGGCTCCGTTGCTGACATTTTTGCTGACAAATACTGGCGACTGTCAAACCTTTGAGTCACTGAACAGCTGAATAGGGGACTAATTTTGACACACCCACTGTTCAAACATAAATCCAAGTTTCAGTTTAAGTCTCTTTTATTTGTTATCAAAATCTTTAAAAATCCACCCGAACATCAGTGATCACAACATTCAAGATTTGAGTGGTCAGCAAAAGTCAACTTCCCCCATCACCCACCCACTCAAAAAAACTCCCTCCATAAGCTCACAGGTGATATAATAATCACTACCAACACCACATGACCCAAAGCTATGCCTATCCACCACAGGCTGGACTAACCTATAAGAACAATGTGGCCGGGTGTGGTCAGCGGTGCCGTAGCAGAGAAGGCGGATGCATCTAGACGGCATCGCAATCTCGCCTTGCCAGCTTAAAAGCGGTGTAGGGTGTTGTGTTGTTGTTGTTGTGGCTACGTGTGGATGGCAGCTAAGGAGCTGCAGCTGTAGAAGTGTGTGAGCAGCAACCGGTTAATGAAGTAAAATGTTCCAGTATGCAGAATTGTGGTCGCCTCATGTAGGGCTGGGCCATATACCGTTCACGGTAATACCGGTATAATGTTGGGCAATGATAAGAAAATGAAATATCGCGATAGAATATGGGTTAAACGCACATGCGCAGTGCCTTTGTTTTCATACACACATGGCGGAAAAAGCATGGCGGCGACGGAGAATGAGAAGGGTGAAAGCGGATTGTTGAATGAAACAGATGAACCAGAACTGGTTTGTAAAAATGCTGCAACTTCAGTGGTGTGGAACTGGTTTAGCTTTCGTCCGTCAGATACACAACAAAGCACTATTTTTGGTAGAGCGTGCTAGCGGGCCGTCGTTATTACCGTGTTTTTTGGAAAATGCGGCGCACTTAAAATCAATCCTTTGATTTTTCTGAAAATCGACAGAGCCCCTTATGTGCCCCGTGTGCCTTATGTATGAATTCTGGTTGTGTTTACTGACCTCGAAACGATTTTATGTGCACGGCGCTCGAAAATCTGTCAAATGTTTTAGTACGACTTTGCTAAGCTACGAAGCTGCACCGCTTGATAGATTGTCGGAGCATTACGGCTATCGTAGGCAGGAGCCTTGCGGAGTGATACGTGCTGTGCTTCATCATAATATTACCGTATTGTGTGTGTATAACCTCTTTTTAAGTTTTTTAAGTTTTGTGGATTCAATGTATTTTGTGAAAATACATTTATGGGTTTTTTGGTTTTTTTGCACTAATAAAGTTGTGGAGTTTTAAAGTGTTTTGTCTCGTGTCAATTATATCGTCAGTTATATCGTTATCGCAAATTTTCAAATGTATATCGTGATAAATATTTTTGGTCATATCTCCTTGCTCTAGCCTCATGCTGCCTCCTGGGTTTCAGCACCACTGTGGCAGGAATGAGGCATGACGCAACCACGATTCTGCATACTGGAACAGTTTACTGGCAAAGTCATTTTTCAATCATTTATGGACTATATTATATCCCATGTATGGTCAATGTGTATGTTTGTTTTCCTATATTATGCCATACATGTATTTAATTTTAGATACATTATTATAGGGGATTTCTGAAAAAAGGAAGGTTTATAGTTAACTCTATGGCTTACAATACCTGCCTTTACAAGGTTGTATTGGATTTTCTCATTGGCTTATATATTTCAGCTTATCAATATTTTCCTCATAAAAAGCAGTCTCTTTCCTTCCCTTTAACTAGCTTTCTTATCTTGTGATAGCCTTGTCACGTGTACACAACCACACCTACACTTACAGCCCCTCTCCGTTCTTGGACTTCAAACCCTCTCAGTGAAATTCGAAGCAGCACTGCATCTCTCCTTCCGCCTTTGAAGCGTGTCTCTTAGACTTCATGCTTCGTATCTCTAACAGGTAGGCTGTTTTTCTCTTTAACCATGTAAGTTAGATCAGATGCCAAATGTAACTGGCATTTTTGTTTCCTCAAGGCATAGTTTACACCAGGAAAATTTGGAAATCTGATACAGGCAGTTTACTTGTTATCGTAACAGCTGAGACGCCTCTCTCAGCTGTTGCTTTCTGTGGATCATCTTTTGTTTCTTGCCTGGAATAGCAGTAAGCTGATATTTTTCCTCTTTTTGGTCTTTGTTTCTGTCATATTGCTTTCGTGCTGCTTTGTGTTTTATGAGCTTTGGACTATGAACAGTGGAGCTGTCAGGATTAGGTGATGAGCTCCCAGTAATTCAAGCTTGGTTATTGTCATGATATATATATATATGTACATATAGATACACTAATCTGAAAACGTTTTTTCACTGTAAGTTATTATTCTTTGTCTTTATTCTTTTACTCGTCTCACTTTTAACATGCTGAGCCATATTGTTAAACGTACACTTCTTTAACTTATATTAAAATATCTCCGTGATTAAATAATGAGTTAAGTTAAGATCAAAGTGGGCGGTATTTGAGTTTGACATCCCTGATGGTAAATGGGTTGGTTCTTATTTAGCACTTTTCAACTCTACCTGAACGCTCAAAGTGCTTTATATGACATGCGTCATTCACCCAATCACATCCAATCATACATGTACTTTTTTTTATGCTTAAGATCCCTAAGGCCCCTGGTACCATTAAACTGTAGTTTAACATTCTGTGATATAAATCTTTTTATCATATTTTTCATTCATCAAAGGCTCTCAGTTACCTCGTCAAATAGCTGGATTGTGCTCACTTGTTAAGTCACTGTTCCGATGCTAAATAATGCTACGGCTGTTTTCTGTCAGGTAAAGACAAAAGATCAACATTTTCATTAAAGTAATGCATCAGAAAGATGTGAATTTATATTTATCAGTAGGGTATGAAAAATATACTGTATGTCTAGTCTGAAATTATCTGAGTGTTAAATCTGAATGAGATTAGAAAGGCACTATATGAGTACTGGTCGTACTGGGTATGACAAGATGCACACTGATACAGCAGTTAAACAACCATCAGTGATCCAGCCCCGATTATAAGATTTAATAAATGTAATAAACAATGTAATAAATTGTTTTATTAGCCTGATTGCAAGTATTTATTTAATATGTATCATCTTCTTCAACAACAGTTTAAGGTTCGTTAACGGTCGAATGGCACAGTAAACTGTTATACATCATATATATATACATGTATATATATATACACATATATACGCAAAAAGCATGTTTGCAAGTTGATATATATCCACACCCATGGGCTATTACCGCACCTAATTTTATTAGTAGGCATTCCGTTGTCTCAAGCTAGATGGAGAGCAGGATAAACAGTTGGGATGTGAAATAAAAATGTACAAACATATCTATAAACACTGGAAAAGTCAGAGATATGGGTTGGCTTATGTCATAAACGAACCCTCTCGGACCAATACTGTTACGGTGACTACTAAGCTGTAAACTTCCTGATAAAAGTTGAACTTACTGGACTCTGTGTGGCCTTTGGTACAAGGAGGAGCAACAGCCCTCAGGGTGTGGAGTGAGTATATAACCAGACATGTATCCAAGAATAGGTCTGACAGAACGTGTGCCTGTGGGTGCGATGAAGTGCTATTAAGTTTTGCTTGGATAACTCAGAAACAAGCTTAAGGTGAAGAAAGCTATTGTTAGTATGACTCTGGGTGTATGTTCTGAAATTATTTTTGTTAATGGTCACATTAACAACTAACTGACATTGTCTCTGTGTGCTGATTTCAGGAATTACATGACAGAAGCCAAGTGAAAGCCGTGACAAGGGCAAAGTCTGTCTCTCAAGAGATGGTGAGAACATAAAATGACGACCCACGTACTTTGTAAATTCCATTCTATAATAACTGTTTCTCTGACATTTTGCTTTCCTTGTAGGATGTGAGGATGTTAGAGATCCCTGCTGAGCTGTCCGCCAGACTCCACAGCACAGCAGGTTATAGTCATAAAAAAATCAAACTACAGAATCTATATGAAGAAGTCACAATATGAACATAAACAGTACTAACAATTTTTGGTGGATCCATTCATCCAATGAAGCTTGTGAATGCACTTGTGCCTCTTTCTCACAGGGCAGAAGCAGGGATCAGGAGTCACAGAGGTCTCACCTCCACAGGTGAAAGCAGAACATAAGCTCAACCTGCCTCTTGATGTTGACAGCTACCCATTCTCACGCTATGCCAAGTCTGTATTAAAGGTGAGTAAAATATGAGCTCCCTAACATCACATCCGAAAGCATTACATTGACTTACAATAATTTAATCACCTCACCTCAGTCTTAAATCCTCTCATCTGACTTGGGCTCTGGAGGCAACAAGCAATCTATCAGGACCAAGGTATCTAGATATTTAGTTAAAGACATCCTTTCTGTGGCAGTCATTGTTTACAAAAGCAGTTAATTCTTTTAATTAAAACATAGAACACCTTGTGGATAATTAGACAATGGGACCTTTTCTTTTTTTTTTTAAAAAAAAGGAATACTCATGTTAAAAGTATTTAAATAATAAAATAAATCAGGACAACTCCAGTTTTATGATGTAATCGCCAAATATTAGAAAAATATTTTTTGACACACTTCTATAAAAATTTACCATGCAAAGAAGTCCACTCGTGCATGCATGTACTGAAAAAACATTAGCTACATTTATTGTTCGTACTCGTGTCTCCCTCAGGATACATGGTGCCAGCCTCAGGGATATCCCCTTCAGAAACCCCTTACAGCTCAAGAACCTGAAGATGCCAGAACTGCTTTGGAGATTTACAAACTGGTATTTTGAATTTATTAGAGTCTATGTGGCATTAAATACATTAAATATGATCTTTTGTCGTTAACTTAATTTTTTGTTTCATATCGTGTCTTTACAGATTTTGCATTTCACAGGAGATGTCGATATTAGCAGCTGGCAGGAGCAAATTTTAGGCAACTACATAGTGGAGAAAGGCCAAAGCCTGCCAGCCTTGAGGGATGAGATCCTGGTCCAGCTGGTTTACCATACTTGGAGCCTGAAGGAGGAGCAGCAAAGCCTGAGGGGCTGGTTGCTGATGGCCTGCTGCCTAAGTGCTTTCACACCATCACCATCACTGGACAAACATCTACTCAAGTAGGCGATGCAAAAATGAAAAGTAACCGTAACTTGAATATTATGTTTTGAAAAATTTGGGGGAGTTGACATGCTGATGTCCCTGTCACCCTATGAAATGAAGGGACAGATCTATTGGTTTGAAGTCACCTCAAGGCGACTGTTGTTGTGATTTGGAGTTAGTACTCACATCTTCTTTAGATAATACACATAGGCTCTTGACTTTATGCATAATGATGTCACATTCAGTCCTGTGGAAAGTTGTGTATTTAAAATATACACATTACCCTTAGCCATTACTGGCTACTCTGGCATTGAATGACTCTAAATAACTTTATGGTAAATAACACAATATAGGCAAAAAAAATAATGTGAAAGATTCCACATTAAAATTTTTTAGTTCAACATAAATTTGAGGATATTTAACCGTTCGTCAGATTTCATTTAATGATGTCGTATGAAATTATAATGTTCTCTTCATGCAGCTGAAGCTGTGCAGGTCTGAGATCAGCAGCTTTCCTAAACACCAAACTGAGTTACCGTTTATGCTCTATATAGTGACAAAGTTATATAATGATCATTAATCCCTTTGACGTTATTTCTTTACCTTTATTTAAAAGAAAAAAAACAGCTTTCACAAAAGCTTTCACTGACACTACATCATGTGATACTTCGGCCTTTGTACTTTTGTACTCATCAGTTAACTTTGGAGTTACTATAATGAGTGAACATGCAGGGTAATTTGTCTGTTGTCAGTGGATGGTGCTGAGGTTTGAATCTTGGGGTAGCTGCTATAATCACATAGAGAAAGGTGTTTAGGTGGGGTTTACTTAACTTTATAGTTAAGTGGGAAGCTTTGCGGAGGAAACCTGGTCTTGTTAGGAGATACAACATGCATCCCACTTTGGATGGAGCAGCTCTCATTTCTAGAAATCTGGCCAGATTTATTAAACCCCCCAAAACATGACTATCCAGAGTTGGAACCAGGAAGCAGAGTTGCAGTCTTACATGCCTCTCTTCAGCTTCTCCTGTTATCCACCTAAAACCCCATCCCCTTAGAGACTGTGTCAGCTTCCAAACAGACAAAAAACAAACTAAAAACCAGCAAAAAAAGAGACTTAAACATAAAAAAAATTACAAAGAAAGAACAATACAGCATCCTCAACAGCGCCAAAGAGTAAAACAGTACAATGTGGATTATTAAACATTAGGCCTCTCTCTTCCAAGTCTCTGTTAGTACATGAGTTAATAATTGATCAATAAGTTGATTTACTCTGCCTTACAGAAACCTGGTTACAGCAGGATGATTATGTTAGTTTAAATGAATCAACACCCCCGAGTCATTCTAACTAATCAACCAAAGACCAAGACAGATTTTCAACCCTTTCACACATACTGGTCACTACAGTGGACAGCTATTCAAAGGCTGTTTTCTTGTATTTGTGTCAGTGTTGATGGTATTAGTGATGGGTCGGTCGTGAACGAAATAGCCATTTCGTTCCTTATTGCGAGCCGTGGGTTTTTTTTCTCTTTCTCTCACCCTCTCTCTCGCACTTTTTTCCGCTTCACTCAGCACGCGAGCCTTGTGCTTTACGCTGGGCAGAGGGGGGAGGGGCGGTAGTTACACTCAGTAGCACAGGAACAGAGCAGGAGGGGGAGAGAGAGAGAAAGCGAGCCACTGGCTCGGAGCCAGGGACAACAACGTCCCATTAGAAAGGTATAGTAATCATCCACAACTATTTTCAGTTGCGGATGATAAAGGTTTCAGAGAGTTTATTCATGCAGGTCCATATGACAGAGAATGTGCATGTTCTTTTTGTTTTCATATTATAATTTATATTTAATTGTGTTGTGGTTTGCAGTGTTTTGTGTTCACTTTAAATTTGTAAAAGGAAAAAGCTGAAAATTTAAATAGTTAAAAGTTGAAATGTGAATAGTTGATTTTTGTATTATATGATTTATTTATTACATTTCATGTGGAGTGAATAAATAAAAGTATATTTATGGTGGCCCCTAGAGACAAAGCACATACAAACTTCAAATCACGTACGAACCCTGAAGCACGTACAAACTCCAAAACACGTAAAAACTCAGAAGCACATAAAAACTCAAAACACGTACAAAAGACAACAGCAGTGCTCCAGGATGCTAGGGGGCAGTGTTGAACTTTTGTTACCTAGTGGCTACACAAGCCAGCAAGTACCAACGACCGGATTTGGTGTGTGGTAATAACAGGTAATGAAGTTTTTTTATTTTATTTGACTATATATGAATGCTTGTGTATAAATACACAAACAGTACACATATGCTTTCATGCTTTTAATTGTGTAATTTAAGTGATCTAGGTAGCTCTGTTTTGGAAGTTCAGTTCATGCTAGAAATGTGTTTTGGAGTTTGTACGTGTTTTGTCTCTAGGGGCCACCACATATATTTATATATAAATATATATAAATAAAACCACTTTTTTTTTACATTAGTAATTCCTTTTGTGCATAAATTTATATTATTGTTAATAATAAATTAATTAAAGCAACAAAACAACCTGAAGAGCCGGTTGGGAGCCGAAAGAGCCGGTTCTTTTTAGTGAGCCGAACCGAAAGAGCCGATTCTCTAAAAAGAGCCGGAAATCCCATCACTAGATGGTATACTTGCACATGAACCACTGCATTGGACACTGATGTGACACTTTATACCTGCCACCCAGTCAAAACGTATGTTGTCCACCTAAGTGGACATATAAAAAAATTGTTTGAAAAGTACATATTTTAAAAAAGAAATGAAGTTCAAAAATCTTTTTTCATGCCTAAAGATAAATAAAACTACTTAAGAAAAATATTCCTGAATTAGCTTGTCATAATTCGTGCATGAAAGGGTTAATTCATTTGAAAGCCTGGTGCTTGCTTAGCTTTTTCCACCCTAGTTGGAAAACTCAAGAAAACAGTCGGGATTTGTAGCTGTAGAAATAAAATTGAATTGACTCTGTTATTGTCAGTCTGCTCCAGGATAACGATGTCCCACTTCTGCTGATTTTGTCAAATGCTTTTATGAGCCTTGCCTTCAAATGAATATATCTAAGACTAAAGAGTGATTTTAGGAGATGCACTCATACACACAAAGTTATTTTTATTAAAATTCACATTGCAGAATATGTTCAAAGTTATAAATCTCTTGGAACAGTTACCAATTCAAAGCTTGATGTTAAAGCAAATTGTGAAGCTTTGTGTAAGAAGGGACACCAGTGTTTGAGAAGCCTTTCTGGTTTCCACATTGATAAAACTGTGATGATTTAATTTGATCGTTCTTTCCTTTATGATACTTATCTGTAAAGAACAGAAACAATCAAATTGTTAACAGCCTGATTGTCAAACCACAGCTGAACCAAGCATCTCTGTATACCACACAGTTAGTGGTTGGCTGGTTCAATTTTCCTTGACAGTTCACACCCATTGCACAGTAAGTTTCAGTTTCTTCTTTCTGGGTAAAGATTTCATTTGACTTTGAGGCTTCATTCTAATATTGTACAGTCTTTACCTTACAATAAAAAGCACCTAGAGAGAAGCTATATAAATAAAATTAACTAAATTTAAGTCAATCGTTGGTGACTTTGTTAGTGTTATAAAATATGTTCATTTTCACCAGACCTGATGCCTCTGCCAAATTTTTGTAGTTCTTGAGCATGTTGTAGCCCTCTAATAAGGGATTCATTTTTGTAAAAAAAAAAAAAAAAAAAGGCAATATTAAGAATAATAAGCAATAATAGGGCCCTTGGCAGATCTTAAGGTATACTGCAGTATGTTGCTTGGTAGAGTTGAGGCATTTCCTGTAGTCACTGGGATGTCTTGCACCCTGTCTTCTAATGTGGCTGTAGCAAAAACAAGTTACTTCCCACTTACTGTGTCCGCTAGATAGTGTACAACAACACATAATATTATAAGTCATGCTGTTGCATATGTAAGAAAACATCAATATAGCTTTGTTAGAACAAAACTTGAATAAATTAACTAGCAATATGTCCATGGTGTACCTTGCCTCTTGCTCCAGATGGCTCCAGCCCCTTATATATATATTTAAGCATGCCATAAGCAACTCATTCCATAACTTCATGGAATGGATTTCTATGCTGGAATCTAAGCCTTACATCACAGAGCACAATTCCCAGCATTAGATGCAGTGCTTCAAAGCACACTGCCACTGGACTCTACAGCAGTGGATACATGTTCTCTGAAATGATGAATGACACTGTCTGACAATCTGATGAATGAGATGCCAGAAAAACAGTATTTGTCTAAACGCATTGTGCATGGGAACACTTTGGGGATAGACCCTTCCTGTTCCAACATGTCTGCGCACCAGTGTACCATGCGAGGTCCATATAGACAAGGGTGAGTTTGGTGTGGAAGAACTGCACTGGCCTGCACAGAGTCCTGATCTCAACCCTATAGAACACCAAAAGGATGAATTAGAGCAGAGAGTGCAAGCCAGGCCTTGTCTGACCTCACAAATGCACTTTTGGAAGAATGGTCAGAAAATTCTCATTAACACATTTATAAACCTTGTGGAAAGCCTTCCCAGAGCAGTTAAAGCTGCAAAAGATGTGCCAAGATCATATTAAACTCAATGAATTAAGAATGGGATGTCACTCAATTTCATGTGTGTGTGAATGAATTTGTGAAAAATTTATCCAGGACGCATTTGCAATTTCAGTTGAGCGTGCTGAGTATGGTGCTAACACAGCAAGAAACTGTGTTAGCACCATACTCACAGAGTAAAACTCGCTTCACTTTGGACAGTGATTCTGATCATCAAGTACTTTCTTGTTCATGACAGGTTTGAGCTTTGGTTGTTCCTGAACATCCTAACCATTTTTTGTTCATCTGAGGGTGACAGTTTGGATCTTCTTCAGACTTTTGCAAAGTGGTGGCACATCTTATTTACAACTGACGAACATGCTCGGATAAATTATTTGAGCCTGATTGTATAATTTTGACTCTGTGTTGATTTAAGAAAATACCAAATAAAACTGCAACACATTTTTGCACCTGATTTTTTTTTTTTTTTAATCAAAGAACAGTTCAAAGAAATCATTAAAAGCCTAAAATTATGATGTCATTCACGTCCATGATGATGAAGGTATTTAAACTTCAGACCATAATCATAACTTCCTCTGTCGCATCAGCTTAAACGACTATGAGACTGCAGCACATGACAAATAAACTTGCTTCCCAGTACTTTTTATTAAACTGTCAGATTTTGTTACTCAGTCACTGAATGGTGTTCTAGATTGTTACGACCCACTTTAACCCCTGCAGGTATGTATCTGACTATGGTCCAGGGGAGTACCGTTCACTGTGCCAACATAAACTGCTGACATCTATGAAGCTTCCATCTCCAACCTGCCGGATGTACCCACCCACCGAGCTGGAATGGACATCCAACCAGAGAAAGGGAACCATGTTGGTAGACGTTCACACCTACAATGGTGAGACTAACTGAACATTTCCATTTTTGTACCATGAAACTGGATCAGTGGGCCTAAAGGCAGTGCAAAAATATCAGCTTTAATAAACTCACAACACCATTTGACGTTTTATTTCAGATGAGAAGTTTGTAACTGAAGTGGAGTCTTGGACCACAGGAGAGCAGCTAGCGTCGTGGATTCTTCATTTCAGGTATAAGTTGTAAACATATGTGATTTCCCCCACTTTGCTAACTAATGTTTGCATTTACATGCATCTTCCTTAAAATTTTGTGTAATGTGTTGTTTTGTGCCATAGAGGTGTTTCGGAAGTGGTACAGGGCTGGTCAGTGTCTCTTTTTTCAATCGATGACGGCTGGTCTGATTTAGCTGGCTCAGATTTTGTCATGGATCTGCTGGCTGGAGCTGAAGCTGAAGTGCTCCCACCAGAAGGGACTCCCACCTCTACTTACTCTGATTACCTGTTCAGCAACCAGGGAGATAGGTAAAATAGTGAACAATTGTTTGGGGGTTTGTTTGTTTCATTTTCTTGGAGGGTCGGGGGCATCTTTTAAAGAATCCAGTGGCACTTATGACAACTGTTTTTCTATAGGATGTTAACAACCGATCAAGATGACTTTATACCACCAGCACCACCCATACAAGCTCCTGGTCTACCTCCTTTTGAAGGAAACCAGTGGAGAAGAGATTATCCACAGGAAGGTAAGTATTATATGGTGAAATTTTAGTACACTAGTTATCTAATTAACACCGTCAGGAAGACCAAACAGAGCCATCTACTAATGTAAATGTTTAGCTATAGTTTGTCTCTTAGGAATTAACCACTTTCAGTTTAATGTTATTTATTTATATAGTACCAAATCACAACAGCTGAATCAAAGTGCTTTATATTGTAAGGTTAATACCCTACAATAAAACAGAGAAAACGGAGGCAATTCCAACAACAGATGACTCCCTATGAGCAAGCACTTTGGCAACAGTGTGAAGGAAAAACTCCCTTTTAACCAGAAGAAACCTCTGTCAGAACCAGGCTCAGGGAGGGGCGGCTATCTGCTACAACCATTTCTGGTTGAAGGGGGTAAGACAGGACAAAGATATCAGTTAGAGAAACATTCTACAAAAAAAGACCTATAATTTTAATTTATGTTTTGTTGTGTTTCCCACTATGACTTCACATGTGATTGGCTGCTTCCAGTAATGGCAGCAACATGATAATATCAGATCATGCAAGGAACGGCTGTCTGCAAGTGCACACAGGCACAGTTCATTACTTGTCTCACCAGAAAGATTTTTTATTTTCTAGACCATGCAGTCCATCTAGCTCTAAATGTGTCCACATAGCATTTCAGAAAATGTTTCACGAAACATGATAATGATATATAAAAGAACTGACGACAACAAAAAACTGCCACAAAAAATACAAGTGAGATAGTAAGCTTTATTTTGCAACCATCACTTTAAACCACCCTCTGTCTCTATCTATATCTACACTCAACAAAAATATAAACGCAACACCTTTGTTACTGCTCCCATTCCCCATGGGATGGACGTAGAGACCTAAAATTCATTCCAGATACACAATATAACCATCCCTCCCAAACAGTGGTCACAAATCAGTCCAAATGTGTGGTAGTGGGCACATCTGCTATATTGAGATAATCCATCCCACCTTACAGGTGTGCCACATCAGGATGCTGATCTGACATCATGATTACTGCACAGGTGTACCTCAGACTGCCCACAACAAAAGGCCACCCTGGAATGTGCAGTTTTGTCTCACAGCAAAATGCCACAGATGCCACAAGCAATGAGGGAGCGTGCAATTGGCATGCTGACAGCAGGAATGTCAACCAGATCTGTCGCCCGTGCATTGAATGTTCATTTCTCAACCATAAGCCGTCTCCACAGGCGTTTCAGAGAATATGGCAGCACATCCAACCGGCCTCACAACCGCAGACCTCGTGTAACCACACCAGCCCAGGACCTCCACATCCAGCAGGTTCACCTCCAAGATCGTCTGAGACCAGCCACCCAGACAGCTGCTGGAACAATTGGTTTGCACAACCAAACAATTTCTGCACAAACTGTCAGAAACCGTCTCAGGGACGCTCGTCGTCCTCATCGGGGTCTTGACCTGACTCCAGCTCGTCGCTGTAACAGACTTGTGTGGGCAAATGCTCACATTCGATGGCGTCTGGCACGTTGGAGAGGTGTGCGCTTCACGGATGAATCATGGTTCACATTGTTCAGGGCAGATGGCAGCTGAGAATGTCCCAGTTCTTGCATGGCCAGCATACTCACCGGACATGTCACCCATTGAGCATGTTCGGGATGTGCTTGACCGGCGTATACGACAGCGTGTACCAGTTCCCACGAATATCCAACAACCTCGCACAGCCATTGAAGTGGAGTGGACCAACATTCCACAGGCCACAATTGACAATCTGATAGACTCCATGCGACGATGTGTTGCACTGCATGAGGCAAATGGTGGTCACACCAGATACTGACCGGTTCTGGGTCCCCAGACCCCCAATAGCGCAAAAAACTGCACATTCCAGGGTGGCCTTTTGTTATGGGCAGTCTGAGGTACACCTGTGCACTACTCATGATGTCAGATCAGCATCCTGATGTGGCACACCTGTGAGGTGGGATGGATTATCTCAATATAGCAGATGTGCCCACTACCACACATTTGGACTGATTTGTGACCACTGTTTGGGAGGGATGGTTATATTGTGTATCTGGAATGAATATTAGGTCTCTATGTCCATCCCATGGGGAATGGGAGCAGTAACAAAGGTGTTGCGTTTATATTTTTGTTGAGTGTATTATGGCTGGGGGATAACAAGTATGTCCTCACTAATTATTTAATATTGAATAGACATCACACTGCAAAAAGATCTATACTAGTGCTGAGGCTGCACGGTGCTAACGCGTTAATTAGCTAAACATGCTAACACGTTGACACCGTGCAGCCCCACACACGGGGTGATCCGCATTAACTCACTAACAGAGATTTGCCACATGCGGTTATGGCATTAACAAGATTAACGCTGACAGCACTAATCTATACACTACAAACCAAAATACATTCAGAAAAGTTAGGTGTGTGAAACAGTGGCTCCCAGTGAAGGGCCGTTTTTATCTGTACAAATGCCGCCTTGCACTGCTTTATCCCCTGGCCCAGATCTGGGGCACCCTTTCATGTGAGGTCAGTCAAGGGTCTGGTCCATTCCCCAAATCCAGGCACGAACCAGCGGTAGTAACCAGCGTGTCAGGCTACATTTCACTGTGTGTTATACTTGTATAACTATGCATGTGACAAATAAAGAACCTTGAACCTTGAGGGAGCCCGAAGATGCAATGGCTACTGTTTTCTCCACCTGTAGGCACACCTGCCCGCCTCCCAAATGGTACGCTAACACTGTGCCTCGCTTGATCCAAACACAGACTTCTTTGGGTTGGCTATGAGCCCCGCCTACATCAGGGACTCCAGGACCACAGCTACCCAGTACACATGCCGGTTGTTACTATGGATGATAACATCATGGAGAAGGCTGTTTTTTCCTTGGATACTGCAGACAAGGGAATCTGCCAGTAGCCCTCAGTTAAATCCAGTGTTGTGAAAAATTAAGCCGCATCTTTCCAGTTAAGGAGTCCAGCAGCCCCAACCCAGGCCATGAGATAGGCATCAGACCATGACACCTCATTCACCAGCCATACCACCTCATAGTCAACATCGCCAACTCACCAGTCCTTGCCACTTGGCGAGTGTCTTTACGCTTGAAGAAGGGCATAATACAAGCACTTTGTCTCCCATTGAAAATTGCCTGAGTCTAACCCCTCTGTTGTACAGGTGCTGTTGACATTCCTGGGCCTGGAATAAATTCTCCCTTGACAACCTTGACAATGATTGCAGCTTTGCTTTCAGGTCCAGGACATACTAAATCTCATTTTTAACTGGGCTTGGGGGGAAAGGGGGAAAACACAATGAAGGCCTGGGGAGCCTCCCACACTGCAAACAACAAAGGGTCTATCCAGCAAGCCCAATTCCTTTCATCCTCATGAATGAACTTGAATAACAAAATAAAAACAAAATAAAAATACTATTATGATTATGATTGTGTCAAAAAGTAGTATAAAAAATATTATGTTGATATTTAGTTTTTGGTTGAAAAAATAAAGGAGTAGTCGTACAGGCAACCAGCAAAGACAACACAAAGGTCCTTTTTTTACTCTAACTAATGAGAAATTCTTTCCATCTTCAGGGCGCAGTCGACAGATGGAGGCCTATGTTGATGACATATTTGAACCCGTACTGGACAATGGACCTCCAGTGAGTTGTGTTGTGTTTCTTTGCAGTTTGGCTTATAATTTTGTCTTCTAGCTGAGGGCACAGTGACTACTAGGCTAGTATTTCCCAGAGAAAAAAATGTTCATGCATGATAACTTTACTTTCTCTGATACGAAAAACAATGTAAGAAAGGAAAGATATAAAGAGAAAAAGAGAGATGCTTTAAGGTAAAGACTGCTCATTTGATAAATTAGAAATTTAAAGCTTGTATATAACGATGTAATTTATACTAGACAGTATGTGCAGGCTAAACTGTGTAGTATGCATTTTTAGTGTTTAGTTCAGAGATATGCTTATATATTGTAGAACATTATTATGTTGTTACTGAATTTGTTAAGGCTTATTTCCAGCAACTCCACGTGTAGTTGTGGCTGCCGTGTCACTTATAATGTGATACACAGCTCATTTTTGTGTGTTTGTGTGTGTAGGACATGGAAAGAGTAGCTATTCTGAATCGCAGGATGAGAGGGGGAGGGGGGATTGGACCGATGCACTCTGGCATGTATGGAGCAGGTAGGAAATTCACACGCCACATGTATTTACTTCATAGTTGAATTACAAAACATTCTTAAACGTGTAGATTGTTCATAATGTTCACACTAAAAGGTAAAATCGATCTGCTTAGGGGTAGGGGCAGCAGCCTACGCAGACAAAGCCAAACCTCCCTCTGCCAAGTCACCTCCAGCTTATCCAGGGTAACCCCAGGCATTCTCAAGCCAGCTAAGAGATGTAATCTTGCCAGTGTATCCTGGGTCTGGCCCAGTGGCTCCTCCAGATGGGACATATCCAGAGCACCTCACACAGGAGGTGACCAGAAGGCATCTAGTCAGATATCTGAACCATCTCGCTGGCTCCTTTGAATGTAGAGGAGCAGCAGCTCAACTCTTAGCCCCTCTCAAATGACTGAACTCCTCACCCTATCTCTAAAAGAGAGACCAGCTACCCTTAGGATAAAGCTTATTTCTACTGCTTGTATCCGCACCCTCATTCTTTCAGTCACTACGCAAAGCTCGTGACCATAAGTGAGACAGGGGACGTAGCTTGACCAGTAAATTGAGAGCTTTGCTTTTATGCTCAGCTCTCTTCACCATGATGAAGCGGTACATCATTTGCATCCATCCATCTTTGGTCCCAATCCTTCTATCACTCACTTCCTCCCCTCTCTCCTCACTCGTGAACAAGACCACAAGATACCTAAACTACTCCACTTGGAGCAGCAATTCATTGATGACCCTGCGTGGGCGCTCCAGCCTTTTCTGACTGAGGACCATGGCCTCAGATTTGGAGGTGCTTCACACTAGGTTGCAAACAACTCCAGTGCAAGCTGGAGGCCAACTCTACTTGCAATGAAGCCTGATGAAGCCAGCAGATCCACATCCACCTACACCTAGAAATTATGTCCATAAAATTATAAAAAGAATCATTGACTAGTGGCAGCTGTGGCAGAGTCCAACAACCACTGGAAATGAGTCAAACCTATTGCCAGAAATGTGGACCAAGCTCACATTTCTCCTTTGGCTCACAACAACAGGCTAGAACACCCCATACTCCTGAGTATGCAAAAAAAAAAAACAGGACAAAGAGCTGGTTGAGTGTTCTGCATCCAGGACAAAAAAAACTGCATTGACCAGGGTTCAACAAATGGAAGAGCTTTCCTTTCTGCTCCGCCCCCCTGGGGGGCATGAATTACCCATCTTGCCAGGTGGGTAGCAGTGTGATGGGCGACTCTGCTTCCTCTACAGAAGGCATGTCAGTGTGGTTAAAGAGGTCCTCAACGTTTTCCTTTTACCACTTGACCATATCCTCAGTTGAGTTCAGCAGCCCCCCACCCCACCACACACCCTGTGAGTAGAGCAATGCTTTCCCTTAATGAGATCCCGAATGGTGCCAAAATTGATTCAAGACTAACAGAAAGTCATGTTGAATCTGTTGGGCATTTTTCTTGGCCTTCAGACAATAATTCTGATTGCTACACTGCCAGATGGGAAAGGCAAAAAAAGAGAAGAAAAGAACAAAAGGCCAATTCCTCAAGGGCAACTCCAGACTGGAATAGAGTCCAAACCCTCTCCAGGAGATTGGTTATGGAGCCCAAGTAAGTGAGTTGAGATGAGATCTACTATATGTAACCAGTTGAAGGAGCTTGGAAAGAAAGTAACTGGCCTTTTTTAAGTTTCATGAAGACATTTCATCTCTCATCCAAGATGCCTGGTCCCTTGTTTTAGTTCTTTTCATAAGGGTTGATTGAATTACTCTTTGTCTGACCCCTCACCCAGGAACAATTTGGTTTGGGAGACTAGGGGGCAACAGGCCCCTGGCACCTGGGATTACTAGGACACACGAACTGAAATTGTATTGCTGCTCGTCATATATCTTATACACATTTTTGAAAGACAGGATTTTAGCTTGTTATGTGCCATTTCAACTGCACACTAAAACACCATTTTTACAGGTATGCCTATGACAATGCCAAGCTATCCTTTGGGTAAGTAATTTATTACATTTCTGATATAAAGAATCAAGCCTTCACTTCTTCAGAATCAGAATCAGAATCAGAAAGGGGTTTATTGCCAAATGTTGAGCAGGTTTACAACATTAGGAAATTGCTGCGGTGCTTCAGTGCAAACATAGTGTCATAAATAGCACTTAAATAGTGTCATAAATAGCACTTAAATAGACATGAAAAAATAAAAGTAGGGATAAGAATTAAAAGTGCTACGTAGAAAGATATGTGCATGAGCTATACATGAGATATATACATGATATATACATATTCTTCTTTCATCATTGAGAAAATATTCACTTTTTGTCATGCCATTGATTATGAATGTCTTTAGGCCAGCCAGGTTTGTTCTAAGATCTCCATTTGATATGCAGTTAGGGGGCCCTGTAGAAGGCACACTTCAGTATAGTTAACTAATATAACCGAACACAGTACTGCAAGCCTCATTAGTTTACTGCCTATCCTTCAACATTGAAAAGCGGTGAACCATTATCCCTTCTTGACATACAACATGATATATGTAGTGTTGAATTTGTAGTTTTTTCACATTCTGTTTATAATTTTAGTAATTCTTGATAATTCTTGATCTTTTTAACCTCTTAAAAAGGGGGATATCATTAGCTTACTTTGTAGACATACACTAAACAAGCATAGTTTCACAAACTAGAAAATATCTTTTATAGGTCTAGTGCTGTCTGATTTCAATTTGGAGATATCTAATAGGTGACGATTTTGATCAGGGGTCAGGTTGGGCCTAAACGTACCTGCTGTATATATTAAGCAGTTAAAATAAACATTGTTGTTCTGTTTGTTGTTGTTTTTAAAGCCATTTTAAAGCTGATTTGGTTAATGCTGTTTCTTGGTTTATTCCATGTGGAGTTTCATATCTCATATCTGTGTATGTATAATATATATGTATATCGCTTATACTGGTTATCTTTTAGAATACTCATATGCAGTTTAATTTTTATGTTTTGGATTTTTTTAAGTTATGGATTCAAATAAATTACAGAAAATGTTTCAATTCTCCATATGTTGCTTTCTGTATGTATAGGAGCACCAGTCAACCCCGCAATGCCCAGTTATGGTGCAAATCCCATGATGCCAGCCATGCCAGCCATGCCAGGTAATTCTCCAACATTTCTTATTCATTTTTTTCAGACCTGGGCTCATATGCTGACACAGATTATTGGTAGGTCAACTACCACCTCCTAAGGGACAGCCAACTAGCCTCCTCTGACACTGCCTCCTGGACCCACTGCATCCCCACTCCACCCCCCCTCTAGCACATGACACTCCGCAACGTAACCCCATGTCCTGACTTAGTCTAGGGAGTCTTAGCCTACTCACCCCTTAAAGTCTCATTCAGGCAGTCCACCAACTCATTAGTCTGAGGGTGGTAAACGCTGGTCCAAAAGGTTTAATGCCCAGTAGTTCTTCTTGTGTGCAAGACATGAACAAAGTGCCCTGGTCAGTCGGTATCTCTACCCTGGGATCCCGACTCAGGATATGACTTGAAACAGTGCACTCTTTGCTGAAATGCAGCACTGCTTTGGGATATTGTGTTGCATTAACCTGCATCAGAACGAATACAAAGTGATATCCCCATGCACTCCAGTGAAATGCCCCCCCCAAACAACTGGTACCAACAACTGTGTGCATTCTTCCTGCATGGGATTGTCATGACTCACTCTGCATAATCTTTCCACAATCATCACAAAATAATTAAATGCCAACGCTACGTCAGGTCGCACTTTGACCATCAACATTTGTGGTCAAAGTCCAACATTTGTCATCACAAGACTGCTCTGGTGGAGCAAATAACTGGAAGTGCAAAAAACCAAAATTATATATGCATGAAACAGTTTATAAGCACTGTGTTTGCAGAGTTTTATATATGTATTTAAATATGTGTAACAATTTGTCATAATTGATCATACACAGCCATGATGATGCCTCAGGCCCCCATGCCTGCTCCTGCTGCTGACCCCATGCAGATGGCAGCAGCAACGCAACAGGCTCTAATCAACCAGCAAGCCCTTCTCATGGTCAGCACTATGAGGATCATTTTGTTCACATCCTTTATCACCCCTTCATCCCTCGTAAGGCCAAAGTTTAAATTTCTCCCCTGTCCTCTCAGGCCCAGCAGATGACCATGCAGGCAATGACTCTGTCCCAGCAGCAGGCACAGGAGCAGCAGAAGAAGGAGCAGGAGAGACTGAAGAGGGAGGAACAAAGGCAGAGGGAACAGGAAAGAAGGCAGGAGGATGAGAGGGAACGGAGGCGTAGATCAGAACGGCGTTCTAAGGACCGTTCAAGTTCACCTCCTCCTCAGTCTCGCTCACCCCCACCTGTCCAGTCCAAAGCATCTGCGCCTAAAATCACCCAAAACTACAGTCAGCCTGAGGCAGAGGTATTTATAT